CAAGAGAAAACGCAGAAGACAGAGGGTTTAGGAGCATTCACAGGCAGAGGAACCGGCAACCTGCAAAAAATGCAGAGAAAAACACTAATTTGACCACTGAGTGGACGTCTACCAACGTATGCACGTTATTACGATATACCTTGAAGCTTCCCGCATGCAGGTTGGGTGCTGGCCCCGCAAAGAAGGGCGAGCTGGCGTTCCACGGCCACCCCAGCTCGAAGCAGCTCTTGGACCAGAAAAACTCGTTCAGGTCGTCGTAATTCCGCCATGACGAGTGCGCCGCGCCCCCCACGGCTGCCTGGGCCTCCTTGGACGCCACGTCATACACAGGCGTGACGACGTAGCGGAGGAATCCCTCCGCCTCGCGCCCGTACGCGGGCAGGCGTTGCTTGGCCTCAGGGCCCTTGCCCCGCAGCACAGCTAGCAGCTCCGCTGCCATCTGCGGTGCATTGGTGGTGAAAGGGATTTGGGACGGGGACGGGGAGAGGGCCGAGGATACATGTTGAGAGGACATGAAGGAAGAAGGGAAAGACGAAGGCAAGGGAGTTGGAAACATGAAGCATGAATATGGAGCAATGCTGCTCAGGCTACGAAGCATCATGCACCTATCAGCCATTGGACTAACGTGATGCAGAACTGTCACGAAGTGCTGTGACGGAGCGTTGTGATGGAGGGCTGCCATGCACTGCTGCATGTAATGCGTGTATGACGTACGTTATGGTAGATGTAGCAGAGGCATTCGGGCATGAAGCGCAGGTTAGCTGCTTCCCCCCACACGAGCAGGAACAGCGCCGTGAAGAGCACCTTCCTCTGCTGCTGCTGGATGGGGGTCAGTCCAGGGTCCCTGCTGCATGCACAAAAAGGCAAGAAAAACAAAGAAAAAAACAATCATTAAGAATTATTCCTTTGTGCCACTGTTGTACTACGACGCACTGGAAACCCTGACAAGCACAGGAATACAGCAGGCATGAACGTGCTCTAGCCCAATCCACCCCAGTGTCGTGCCACTACTAGCTCACATGACGTTGCTCTTGCACTTGATGTAGCGGCACCAGCTGCGGTAGTTCTTGATCAACCCCTCCAGTACCTTCTCCACTGCTCGGTTGTCCAACTGCAGGACAGACACAACACAGACAGGGAGCACGAGCACACCGCACACGTGCACAGCACACGCACACAGCAGGTCCACACCGCACACGCATAGACATGAAATAGAAACTGATGTCGCCTTGTAAGGCATCTTGAGCAGGATCCGAACTTGCAACCGGAATGCCTTCCGTCAGGGCATACCCAAATCTACACTACACTCCACTCCAACATCCTGTAGTTTCGAATTCATGCTTGAACTGTCTATGTCCCTCACGTGTGTCTGACTCGGGTGGCCTTCCCGGTTCGTACCTCCTCGAGAGGTTCAGGCCGAGGGCTCTTCAGGCTGATATGCGCGTTCGCCAGCAGCAGCACCAGATGCTCACGCTGGTTGCGAACGTTGTCTTTCTGCAGGGGGAAGCGGTGTCATGCACGCACACACACAGACCCGCATGCGCACGTACGCACAGAGGCACGCGTTCACACTCGCACACGCACGCACAGAAAAAACGGGGGAAGAAAAAACACTCAGACGTCAGCAAGCGACGTTTATTTCAACAATGCTCACACGCACCTATAACATTGAAACAACAATCATCTTCAGTAGTACGATGCGCAGAGCAATAAAATGGCGAGTAAGGCGTTTCCTGTCACCTGGAAAGCAAAGACGAATCGCAGCCAATCAAGCGAGTCGAACTGCTTCAGCTTCTGCCCCGGCGGCACCTCCCACAGAATTGGAAGCCCGCTCACGTTCGTCACTCCCCCCATAGCCGCCACCACCTGCCATCACAATGAGAAGATGCAACCAGAATTCAGTCATGAAGTCCATAAACTCAAGTCGCTCGTTACCCACTAGCAAACGTGACTTAAATCTCTTGCTACTAACGTGGCTCCTTTCAAGCCACAGGTCTGCTTGGATCCATTTCGTCATCATTGACCGACCAGTGCGCGTCTAGACGGGGACAACTCACCTCCGGTAGCTGCATGATGGGTTGCTTGGCACTGGACGGGTCCAGAGGCAGAATGTTGAACGCCACGTACTCCGCTTTGCGCTCCACCACTCGCTGACCCGCCTCCATAACCTGCAAATTCCACAATGGTTCCACCAGCGATTAGTAACGCGTTTGGACGTCTACTGAGACGCACCGGCGGGATTGCTGAATAATCACGCCATTTGGTGTCGCATGCTTTGCTATTATTCACGATGGAAAACGGGTAATCGTCCACTGCAGTCACGTTCTTCGCTGAAAGCGCGGCATGCATCGTACCTCCGGCGCGAGCTCCGACTTCTCGGTCTGGTTGATGGCGCAGAGCACCTCAAACAGCACGCCTGCAGTCTGGTACGCGCGGGCGAGCTCCGCTCTGTCATGGACAAAAATGAGATTGCGTCAGAGTCCGTTTTAATCGATTCGTAGGACCGGACCCCATCAGTGTGGAACCGAGTATGCGAGCATGAACGCTGGTGCGTGAGAGCTGATTTACCGGTCGACGTTCTCTGCGTCATCCATGGCCTTGACATAGTTCTGATAGTACTGCTGGTAGAAGGACGCGATTTCTCGAGCATCGCTGCTGCGTTGTCGCTTCTCCAGAGTTATGGGGTTGTCCTGTGACAACAGCAAGGGACGGCAAAACGGAACACATTCATACGAGAAGGATGGATGTGTCAAGAATATTCAGCGTGAGGACAAACTGAAAAAAGACTTCAGGTTGAACCTAAAGTATCATTGTCAGCTAGCGACCCCCGCGAGGTCGGTAGGTGACGATGCCAATGAGTGTCGTGAAACTCGTACCCTCTCTAGCCGCTCGAGAAGCGCTGTCTTAAACTGGCGAACTCCACGTCCCTTGCACGTGGGATCCAGGCGATGAGCCTTCTCGAAAGCGGAGAACCGACCTGCGCAAACCGGTCACACAGAGATGTGTCAGGATATCAGCTACTTTTGCCGAGGTAAATGAAGCCATTCTTAGATGGACATTGCAGTATACAATACTCGTTGTCACTATACGAAATTAAAATCGACGGTATCAAATGCCTAATAGCGAGCCTGAAACGAAGAATGCGGGTTTAAAAGAAATGCTCTATTCTGTAAGAGTTTCAGAGGGAAGGTGGGCTCACATAGGTAAGCAACTCGAGGCCGTTGGGATTCTATCTCATTAGCAGCCCTGAGGTAAGGCTCGATCTCTGACAACGTAGGCGGAACCATCTCAAACGCCTGAAACTCCCGGGTCCCGCTACTAGGTAATCTCGTCATCTGTCTCCGTGCCATCGTGGCTGGACCTGAACTCGGACCAGCGATAATATGCTGTTAGGACGACTCAGTTAGTCTGCAACCATCAGCTCCGGGTTCGTAGACACAGCGAGCTAATTACGTCCAACGAAGCGTTGGACCTGGCTCGAACCACGCGCTGAATCCTAGGGATGACAGTGTGAACGGAACGACAGAATGAAGCGAAGAGGTTTCGCAGGCGAAAAGGCGTGGCTGGATTCGTTTTGCTTATGGAATGACGGAGGAACGAGGCGGTGCTCTCAGCCGCTAGGGCCTTGGGGAGATCCCTTGAGACTGCTGCTCGCCGTGGAGTGCTGGAACGAGGTGCTCTGATGATGAATGGTTGATTGCCGCCTGCTGATGCTGCTCGTGCTCCTGCTGCTGCGGCTGTTTGGGCTGAGCGGTTTGGGTAGAGTCGGGCAAACCAGCCAGGCAAGCCTTGAGAATGTAGAATGACTCTGTCTGCTGGCTGATTCTGTCTAACGGATGTCTCCAGCCAGCTCTGATTGGCTGATGTTACCTTAGTGCATTGAAATTGGCGGTAAATTTCTGGAGCCGGGTCGCCTTTGTCGGCCTGAACAATCGAGGGAGCGCTGGGAGCTCCTCTCAGTCCCAGGGAAGGGACTTGGTCTCAGTGAACTGAATTCGATGGCAGACGGAGGAGATTGCCGACTGGAATTTTATCCGTCTGCCAGCCCTGACGGTCGGACGCGGTGTGTGACGTGCTCAACTGAATTTCTCTGCCCAGCTCAGGGTCCTTGATACCTGCATACACAAGGCACCATCTGACGGCTCCAGGAATTGCCGATTCGACGACTCTCGCCGGCGCCTCTGGAGAAAATTCAGCTGGTCTGACGGAAAAGGGATTGTCAGAGCGTGATAAGGGGGTGTTACATGTGCGCAAGAACTACGCTGGGCCGTGCTGGGCCGCTGCGGCCCAGGAAATTTGCGCGGACCAGCGCGGACCAGCATGGACCAGCGAACGGCCCAGGTGTGGACCCGACTTGCACCCGCCCACGGACCAGCATGTACAGTGCGAGACGCACGTACGAAAACGACGCTCGACACGCAGGACCATTTCCAGAGCGACCCAAGACGATGGGAATCGCATGCGACCACGTTTTGATTGTTTCGCCAAAAGTATCTGCTGTGTGCGACATCTTGTTCAAGCGTGACCAGGTACACTTTTGTTTTCGTCAACACTTCGTTTTCGAAGCTGCAATGCACTGTGCATAGCTGGTCCGCCGCAAATGGTCCCCGGTACCACGCGGGACCACTTTTGGAAGTGGTCCCTCTAAAATGGTGCTCCCTTGCATTCGCTGGTCCATATCCTTGTAAATGGACCAGCGCGTAATGTAACTCCCCCTAAGTCGCTTTTGACAGTGTTCGCATACGCATACACCCAGTGGAAGATGATACATAAATGCCCAGACTTGCAATAGTTCTCCCAAGGTGGAAGGCATGGCATTACTGAAGAATAAGAGTAGGATGTCACAGCTTCAGCAATTTTGTGAGACTTCAAGACGACCCACACTGACGAGTTCTATCGTAAAACGGCGAACTTTGCAAGACATGAGGTTTGTTGCATTGATACAAGCATTCAGCATCCTGCAGGAACTCCTTGATCACATTATTTCTGGCAAGTTGCCACTACGACGTTTTTTGCTTGGATGAGTCACGCTCTGTTCTACTAGGCAAAACTACATGGGCGAATGTAACGCCAAAAAAGAGAACACACAAGTAAGTCGCATTGATAGCAATGGCAGTGAGTGGTGGTTGGGATAATGTATCCATGGTGATGTTGACAAGTCCCGTCCCTACATTCGCCTGTGAAACAGGATGTATGCCAGGGGAAAGACATAGGACGAGGTCATCCTTACAGTATAAGCAAAAGCAATTTTGCCAAAACAGTGTTCACCCATCCCTGGTATACGCAAGAGCGGCCAGCGCCACACACTAGGTAATGAGCAAGAAAACAGCACGTGCCCCAGTGCTCCAGTGCAATGCCCCAATGCCCCAGTGCCCCGATGCCCCGATGCCCCATATGTACCATGGGAACCGTGGGGAGTATGAAGCCATCAGTGGTACCCAAAGTGCCCCAAAGCCCAAGCGCCCAAAGCCCAAGTGCCCAGAGCCCAAGTGCCCAAAGCCCAAGTGCCCCACAGCCCAAGTGCCCCACAGCCCAAGTGCCCCACAGCCCAAGTGCCCCACAGCCCAAGTGCCCCACAGCCCAAGTGCCCCACAGCCCAAGTGCCCCAATACCCTAACGGCGCCCCAAAGCCCTAACGGCGCCCCAAAGCCCTAACGGCGCCCCGTGTGTACCATGAGGAAGGTGGGGAGCATGAAGCGAGCAATGGCTCGGAAGACAAGCGAGGGAGAGCGACAGGTGAGCTCCCCAATGAGAATAGCCTGGGCGAGAGACAAGAGGGTGGGGGGAGAGGAGCATGGTAGTGCGGAGGGAGAGGACGGAGGGTAGCAGGGGACAGTGGGGAAGGAGAGGACAAGGGGAAAGAGAGGAGGGGAAACGAGGGGATACGTGGGAAACGTGGTACGAAGAGACTGCATGACTGCATTTCATGTGGGAATAAAACATGCACAAGCCACATCTAACAAGCAAGTTTGGTCAGCAACACCAGCTTTGCGAGGGGAGATGGGGAAAGTGGGATGAGTGGATGGAAGGAGATGCAGGCAGCGACATGGCATGTGGGTGTGAAAGGCAAAGGAGAAGGTTGGCTTACATGAACGCCTTGAGCCAAGCTCCAGCAGACGAATGCAAGATTGCACTGCCAAGTAGAATCATGAAGAAAGCCACACCATCGATCCCATCCATCCATCCACCCGCCCCTCCGTGTGTCCGTCCGTTCATCCATCCACCAATCCATCCACCCGCCCAACCCATTCACAAAACAAGAGTGTGGCAAAAGAAGGGATGATGATTGTGGCAAGGGCTAACACACATGGACAGCTATTGCAGAGTGGGCCGTGATGTCCTGAAGGGGCAGAAAACGCTGAATGGAAGAACAGCAAGGAACACGGGTAGAGCAGAAGACAAGGAAATTGCAATCTTGTGCATGGATGAATAGGTGGATTGCAAGGTACGAGAGACCTGATGCTAAGAAGTATGGGGAACAGCAAGCAGGTGGCAAGGGAATTGGACAGAGCTGAAGAATCTGAGACGGGAGCGGAAGAGGCAAGAGAAACTCACGGAGCGTCGGGAGGTTTGCTCAATGTATTGATGTGCTACTATGGTTACCAGCCTGTGGTGTGGCACGGGCAGAAGGCAACACAGGGGGGTGGACGGGAGAAGCATAACATTGATGGGCATATGAGTCGTGGGGATGCAAGCAGAAGTGAAGGTACAAGGAGTGAAGACAGGAGGAGTGAGGTAGGAGTGACGGCAGGGAGGGGAGTGAAGGTAGGAGGAATGAGGGCAGGAGGAGTGGGTAGGAGTAGTGACGGCAGGAGGAGTGAAGATCGCAGGAGTGAGGGTAGGGGGAGTGAGGTAGTGGGAGAGACGGCAGGATGAGTGAAGATAGGAGGAATGAACTTGGGAGGAGTGATTCAAACCTGGCACTTCACACAAACATGATAACGTTTCAATTCAAGTTCATGCGATGCTTTTCCTGATAGAAAAAGGAGGATAGGAGGACGCGTGGAGGCAGGAGAAGCAGGGTTGGGTGCGTGCGTACCATAGGAAGAGGTCGAGAGGCAGGAGCTGATTGACAATGGCGAAGAGAGGACCGTGCGCAGAGCGAATGGCCGCTGATGGCGCAGAGAGGGAGAGAGGGAGTTTGAGAACGAGGGAGGGAGGGAGGGAGGGAGGGAGGGAGGGAGGGAGGGAGGGAGGGAGGGAGGGAGGGAGGGAGGGAGGGAGGGAGGGAGGGAGGGAGGGAGGGAGGGAGGGAGGGAGGGAGGGAGGGAGGGAGGGAGGTGAGCGATGGTGGACTTGCAGGTGGTTCACAGGAGGTGCCCAGCTGACAAGAGCGTGGTAGTTGGTTGGGACGAAACAATGGTGGTTTGGGCGAAAGGGTGGAGGTTGGGGAAACAGGGGTCATACAGCCATGTGCTGAAATATACACAAGATGCAGCAGGGGCAGAGAAGGGCAGAAGGAGTTGCTTACAGTAGGAGGAGTTGAGGAACGTGCCAAAGTGAAGAGAGATGAGATAGAGACTCAGGTAGCCTGGCACACACATGGGGCGGGCACAGACAGATGACACAGAAGATGACACGTGGGGACGCTCAAATAGAGGCGTCAATGGGTGACGGGGGAAGCATATCACAGATGAAATGCAATTCAAGCTACCCAGTTAGTGAACCCAACACATGTGTTTCTGCGGCACCTTGAAGGGAGATGAAGGAAACACAGCACAGGAGCAGTGCGAGGCAATGCACGGTACTCAGGTAGTAAACGTGCTTTGAGAATTCTCAAAAAACGAACACAGGTGCAGTGAAAGGCAATGCATGGTGTTCAGGCAGTAAACGAATGCATGCCACGTGTGGAAGGTTGTAGCAACAGATGTACGCAAGCAATGAACCCTCACCACCTGTTGCACTAAAAACGCCACTCTCTCCCTGAAGCGCTACAGATGCCCCTCTCTCACCTACTGTGCTACAGATGCCCTCCTTATTGAGCGAGATCAGGGACGTGGCTTCCCTGTCATCTGACAACACCCACTCGCTGCCTCCCATAAATGACAACCATGCCTGGTACCCTGCAGGGGAAAAAGGGAAAAAACAAAAAAACGAGAATACACAAGAGAGAAGCACAGGAAGTAAAGACAGGAAAGGGATTGGAGAGAACGGAGCGTTGACAGACACACAGAGGGCTGCCAACGAGGCACGACAGCCACGTCTGGTACCCTGCAGCCAGCAGCAGCAGAGAAATTAGACAAACAGCAAGAAAACGGAAGGAAGAGGGATGGGAGGGAAATGAGCATTCGCAGGGGTTTGACTTTGACACCAGTGCGAGCCCTGACACGGCATCGAGCAGTTATGGCATGACACACAGCAGCAGCGGCGACGGTAGCAACAGCAGCAGCAGCAGCAGCAGCCCCACCGACAGCAAAAGCAGCAGCAGCAGCCGCAGCAGACACAGCAGCAGCAGCGTGAGCAGCAGAAGCAGCAGGAGCACTGACCGATTAGAAGCAGCACGGGGGGAGTGAGGCTGCGGAAGAAACCCGGGGGCAGTTGTGAGGGGTGGTGGCGGATGGGCGTGGGGAAGAGGCGTGCTAGGGAGAGCACGGCAGCGAGAGTGAAGAAGAAGTTCCAGTGCACGCCGTACTCACTGCTGTGCTCCTGATGATGGGATGGGGGGGGGGTGTGTGGTGAGAGGGTGAGGAGCGTGTGTATCTGAGTGCATGCGCAGCAGGAGAAAAGGAGGGGGTCAGTGGGAGAGCACAGCAGCGAAGGTGAAGAACAGGTTCCAGTGCACGCCGTACTGCTGTGCTCCTGGTGATGGGATGGGAGGGTTGTGTGCAGTGAGGGAGGGGGTGGGGGGGGTTTTGTGTGTGTGCGGCGCGCACGTATGAGAGGAGAGAAGGAGAGGGCCATTTGAGGGAGAGCACGTTAGCGAAAGGGAAGAAAAAAGTTTCAGTGCAAGCCGTACTCGCTGCTGTGCTCCTGGTGATGATGATGGGGTGTGGGCGGTGAGGGGGTGAAGAGTGTGTGTTTGGGTATGAAGAGTGTGTGCTTGCATGAAACGGGAAAGAGAAGAGCTTGAGGGAGGGCATCGCAGCAAGGGTGAAGAGGAGGAAGAGCATAGCAGGGTAAAAGAGGCAAAAAGTGAGATAGAACTTAGTCGTTGATAATCAACACCTGGTAGCAAGAAGGGCACCTGGTAGCAAGAAGGGCACCTGGTAGCAACAAGGGCACCTGGTAGCAACAAGGGCACCTGGTAGCAACAAGGGCACCTGGTAGCAACTAGGGCGCCTGATAACAACAGCAGCACCTGGTAGCAACTAGGGCGCCTGATAACAACAGCAGCACCTGGTAGCAACTAGGGAGCCTGATAACAACAGCAGCACCTGGTAGCAACTAGGGCACCTGATAACAACAGCAGCACCTGGTAGCAACTAGGGCACCTGATAACAACAGCAGCACCTGGTAGTTGGTGACTTTGGTGAGCAGCAGCCGTCCAATGGCAAGCACTAACAGAGGCAGCAGCTTGCGCGAAAATCGTTGGCTGAGGGGATTGTGTTGGGCAGAGATGCAGGATGAAGGTACACGTTGAAGGGGTGGGAAGCAGGGATGGGCAAACAACCAAGGTGGGAGAGACCATTGGGAAAATGGCAGCAATAGATTGGATGGATAATGGATTATAAAGGGCACAAAAATGAGTGGCGGCGGCGGCGGTGGCAGCAGCAGCAGCAGCAGCAACGTGTGCAAGAGTGAAGGAGTTTGAGAGCAGTAACATCAATATTGTTGGGGGGGATGCTAGCAACAAAGTTGGCTAGAATACTTTATAAGGTGTAACACGTACGCACTCTCATGAATTGATGAAACTCACATGTCTCACGCGTGCATGCACTTACATGGACACATGTGCTTTTCTTTCTCCAGCTGTCCTGATCCTCGAGGACCCGAATTGAGAGGCTGTGTTGGCGATGACAAACATGCCCACACCCAGATCCATCTGCGTGGTGAGAAAGAGAGAAGGGTGAGAGAGGAGGATGGATGGATGGATGGATGGATGGATGGATGGATGGATGGACGGACGGACGGACGGACGGACGGACGGACGCATGGATCCATAAATGCATGGATGCATGGTTACAAAGCTTGACTGACCAGGGAGGTGCCATATCGTTCAGTCTTGGCATAGTTGCGTGGGAAGATGTCAAAGTCCACCGCTAGAATGGCCGTGCACGTCAGCAGCATCTGGTGGGCGGCAGGGGTGGTGGGGGAGAGAGGATTTCTGATTCAATGCAAAATTCGTGGGAAGATGTCAAGGTTCACGGCTAGAATGGCCGTACACATGAACAGCATCTGTTTAAGGTTTAGGGTGGGGCAGGGGAGAGAGGCTTTCTGAGTCAATGCAAAAGGCGTGGGAAGTTGTCAAGGGTCACGGCTACAATGGCCGTGCACGTCAGCAGCATCTCGTGGGCGGCACGGGTGGTGGGGGGGAGTGGGAAGCGGGGAGGACATTGGGAAGAGGAAGAGAGAATGGTAGAGGAGAGAGGGAGGCAGAACGGGAGCAGCAGCAGCGGATGAGGTGTAGATGCATGTGCGGTAGAAGATGCATGGGTAAGACAGGCAGCGAATATGTGATTGCAGGAAGATCTGGGGGGAAGGAGGTGAGGAGGACGAGGTAGGGTTGGAGAGGGGGGTGGGGAGGGGAACAGGAGAAGTCTAGAGAGGGGTGGCAGGGTGTGGAGGAAAGGGGGGTGCGGGAGAGGGGAAGAGGGGAAGAGAAGGGGGGTCTGTCTCACCAGAAGTGCTCGAAAGGTGATGACTGAATCGGTGACAGATGGCGGGGAGAGGGGCCACGAGGAGCTGTCTAGCAGGTAAGGACTGTGCAGCGTGCATTAGGGAGCGAGATGGAGGGGCATTTACAGGGGGAGGTGTCACGTGTGCATGCAATGCAAGATGACGTATGAGTCGACTCGGGGAAAGTGTGTGTGTACGGGTGGGTGAAAGGGTATATATACACAGAGGGACACGTGAGACGTCACACGATACAGTTGCACTGACGGTTTCTGCTATGTCTCAAACCTAGCAGAGAATGGGGGAGACGGGCAAATGCTGAATGGGGGGGGATGTGCATGCATGTATGGACAAAGAGGTGGCAATACAGGTGGAGAGGAGGAGCAAGCAGGTTGAGTCACAGGGACAGCAGAACTTCAAATGCACAGAGACAAAGACACGAAACCAGGAACAAGCAGTAGCAGTGAGAGGAGGGGATGGGGTGAAGCAGGTGTTGGCATAAAGGGAGAAACATTTGAGGCGTCTGGGAATAAGACAGTAGGAAATACAGTAGACAGGGGGTGAAAGGGGAAAGAAGGGGAGAATGGAAACGCACCCTTGGGTGTTGAGGGTTGCCAAAGCTGCTGTTGTTGTAAGAATCACTGCGAGGATAACGAATGTGATTGTGAGGTGGTCCTTTAGGACCTGAGAGTCAACAAGCAGGCACAACCAAGAAGAGGGATAGGCGTGAGAGGTGCGTGGGTGGGAGAGGGACCAAACGAGACTTCAATGGAAGGGCAAAGATCATCAGAAGTGGAGGTGACGAAGAGTAAGAGTAAGTAAGAGCATAACGCAACCGTGAGGTGTTTAACGGAGAGAGAGAGACAGAGGAGGTGGTGAAAAGGAGTGGTGTGTGGTAGTACCGTGAGGGTGAGGAGGGAGGGGATGATGACGAGGAGAGCATCGGCTGTCACTGATGCCGCAAGCTGCAAGCCTGGTGTCGGAAGCTGCAAGGGCAAGGAAGATGCGGAGAAGGAAAAGAGGGAGGGAAGGAGGGGAGATGGAGGAGGGATAAAGGGGGAACGGAGGAGGGATGGAGGAGGGATGGAGGAGAGGGTGTGAAGGCCGAGGAGAATTATAGAAATACAAGGAAGACAGGGCAGCATGCTCGGGCACCAGATTATAGAAGAATAACATCTGTATTATAATAGAATAGCCAAGAAAGCCAATGCGTGCAACTAACCCAATGCGCCTTATCTGTCCACCTAAGCCGTGCGCCTTATCTGTCCACCTAAGCCGTGCGCCTTATCTGTCCACCTAAGCCGTGCGCCTTATCTGTCCACCTAAGCCGTGCGCCTTATCTGTCCACCTAACCCGTGTGCGCCTTATCTGTCCACCTAACCCACGCCTATGCTATGCGTCCGCCTAACCTGCGCGCCTATGTGTGCGCCTCAGCCCACCTCTGGAGGCCTTATGCAGGGTGGCAGGAAGGGCAGTAACTGGCGCTGGGCGGAGAGAATCTGCCAACACAAGAGGAGCACACGGAACACAAGGTGGCACAAGGTGGGGATAGAAAGGGGCCAAGTGCAGGGAATTCGGGGATCTTGAGACGTCTCAAAAGTGTAGGGACGCCGAGGAAGAGGAGAAAGGAACATATGTGGTGGTGATGCACTGGTCTGAAATGAGCCAACGGTATTTGATTCACTCACCAGCGGTATAAGACAAGTTCGACAGCCTGAGGTGCAGTGAAAGCATGAGACAGCTTCGCTTGAACAATGGCACTGCTATTGGCGCTATCGACCATCATTGGTTGCAGGAGAGAGAGAGAGAGTGCAAGGAGTGGTGATGTGCCATGTGGTGGCGTGGTGATGAGGTGATGTGGGCCGTTAAAGTGCATAGGAGTACAGACAGGCTGCTGGTGACGAAGCACTCACGAAAACGATGGTAACCAGCGCAGACACGTGGAACATGGACGTCCCCGTGTGACCACTCACGAACCTGCACCTCCAGGACACGCCAAACGCACCGCATAACACACACACACACACACACACACACACACACACACACACACACACACACACACACACGCACACACACACCCACACACGCACATTCACACACACACACTCACACACACACACACACGCACACACACACACACACACTCACACACACACACACACGCGCGCGCGCGCACACACACACACACACGCAAGGAAGAAAACAACGAACCTTGTTATGCAATGTCCAGGAAAAACTAGCCGTACAAGGCAAGGGACTTGGGGGAAGGGGAGTGGCATGTGCGAGTACGAGGGAAGAAACCTTGCTAGTTACTCAAAAATCTTGAAACAAAAAAAAAGGTACGAACATTTCACGCTGCTCCTTGATGTGGCCTGGAAGGAAGGTCATGGCTCGAGACAGGAGGGAGGCCATGACAGGAGCGCTCTCAGACCGCGACGCCATGGCGAGAATGTGCAGCAGGCTCACGGAAAAACCTGTGCAGTGGAGATTGATTCGGTAAAATGGTTCGAGAAGCGGGTACGCGTTAGGTGAAAACGGTTACGGAGATGTACGAAGGTGAGGACATGCGATTTGAGAAATTCGTAAAGTCGTGACGAAACGTGGGAGGTGTGTTAGCACAGCGTGTTTAACACGAGGGAACGTACGAGGCAACGGAATCTCGCCGTCACTCCTCCCTCCGTTGTGATTCCCGGATGTGAGATATACTTTTTGTCCAACTCAACAAACTCTTTTCCCGTGTCAGCTAGCTCGAAACTTCTACGCCTAATGCGCTGCCATTCGGCTATTGCAGCTTCTAACGCCTCCGTAAAAACGCCTTGGCTCTAAAAGATGAGCCTACACGAGCATAAAGCCCAATAAACTAAGACCTAGAACTCATAAGACGTGGAGACTCATACGACCTGCCTGACGTCATCGCATCCCCTGCGTGTACCACCTCGTCAAGGCTTTACTAAAAGGTACTGGTAACTCAAACGAGTCGCAATGAGTGCGACCGCCAATAGGGCCTCTCACGTGTGCAGTCACCAGTTCGCGACAGTCGGAGCATAATATACGGAGCCATAGCCGTTATACACTACACTCGCTCCGGCAGTTAGCCATGGGAGACATCGAAAGACGACCAATTTGCGGAGGCTAATACGGCTAGAAAGCGCATCATACGTAATGGCAACCCGCTAATCACACACTTCACTGATAAGACTCAGCTCCGGCAACGGCGCCGAGAAATTCGTCAAATCCAGTCGCTTGCTAAACTTCTCGCACTCAGCCTCCGCAAGCTGATAAAATTCCTCGGAGCGGCCCTGAATCCCGAAGCTCTCACATGTAGCCTGGCCGTCACGCTGCGAAGTAGGAGCAGCCAGAGCCAGTACTGTAGTTGTGGAGGAATCTAGGATGTGCTGCAGAACTTCAGTTGGCCAACAAGTTTAATCCCTTCGTTACAGTGTCCGAACATAATTCTAGAATCTAGGTGTCAGCTGGCGGTGTGACTGGTAGAGCGTAGTATGTCATGTCATCTGATACTGGTGGGAGAGGAGAATCATGAGAAGGTGGTGGTAGGTCAAAACAGCACTGTATCGGGGATGGTTAGAGGAGACGATGTACACTCCTTTCCGAAGCTGGTTAAGTAGATGGATTACAAGACATACAAGACAATACTTTGCGAGCTGTACATGTAGGTTTGGCCGTCGGGCTAAAAGGATGAAGGCAACAAACACGTTTTTCAAGCTTTTTTATATAGCAATATCTTATTACATAGGGCATACACTTCCATACAGCCATCCTATTCTACCATATCATGGTCCAACCCTGAAGTTTGTTGCATAAATAAATAACTAAGACAGGTAGTCCAAGGAAACTGAAGGGTAGCTGGCTGCTCGTACAGGGGCAGAGCAAGAGAGAGGCGGGAGATACATAACTGAGGTGGTTGAATCAAGAGTGGAAGTGCAGGAGAAGATACAAGGAGAGAAACTGGACTGCAACCACACAGGAGGGCCGCTGCTGTAGCCAGCAAGCAAAAACGAAAAACACTACGAAGAAAACTAGAGCCAGGGGATGTGAGAGGGAACAACCAGTGTACCAGCAAACATGGATGGACCGGGATGGGCACCAACAAACACCATGGTAGATGCTCAGCGACACTGAGCAAGGAGTTGATGACAGCTGTGGAGTATGGAGGCACTAATATAAGAGGCGTATGGCCAAGAGAGTGGCCTTGGGTGGCTAGCTATGAGTTGGGCAAATGCCCTTAAGGAAAGATGGCTGCTGCTGCTCTGCTGCTGCTCCTGCTGGTGTGATCCACGTGTTGATGGTTGAAACAGCAGAGATCTCTTAGGAGGGCAGTGGGGTGGGAGCTGGAGCAGTAGACCCTGCTGCAGAGAGTATCAGGTGGACCGAGGGCGTGTGGAGGTGTGATACAAGCACGCATGCGCCCAGTAGGAACCAGACTGCAAGGAAAAAGAGGACATATGGAGCAGCAGGAGGAGCAGAAGGACAGCAGCGGCAGGAGCGGCGGGAGTAGCTGGGGATGTAGCGGTCGGGTCGTGTGGTGGCACAGTGGCGGGGTGGGTGTTTCCCTGTGCCCAGGAGGCACCATGGAGCTATGGGTCCAGGAAAAGATGGTCGGGAAGATCTGCAGGGGGTGGCAGCAGAGCCACGCCTTGGAACTGCAGGCAAAGGAGTGATTGGAAGGAGGGCGGTCGGACAGAGAGAGGTACGTGCGATGAGAGGCGTGACCCACACATCAGCAACACACAGAATGGAGACGAGGGCGAGGTGGAGAGAGAGGAGGTGGGAGGATAGTGAGAACGAAGGGCATGAGGGTGAGTGGGGACTAGCTTGTAGTGATGAATGAATGAGCACCTTGGGCTGGCGGTATTTCTCCCGAATGGCAGGGAGCGTGCAGCCTTTGACGTTGCGCTGCAAGTCGTAGAGCGCCATGACCGCCTCCTTGAGCTGCGACGGCGCATACCCCGTGTAGTGCTGCAGTGTCGCGTCCTGCAGTGCCACAGGGACAGGGGAAGAGACGGGAGGAAACACGATACGAGCGCACTGAGCACCATGCAAAGGACAACAGTGAGATGCTACAGGGGATGAAGCCATGGCAGGCACGATCTAAATAGGTGCTAGAAGCGCCAGTGAACCAAAGACCAGCACACATAAAAAGCCACAGGTACTGCACTTCGACAAAGGCACAGCGTTTAGAAGGCAGAGGGGAACTTTCAGGCGAGGAGGGGGCTTTACCCAGGGTGGGAGGGCCGGGTAGAGTGTGAGCTTGGCAAGGAAGACAGCTGCAGCAGCGATTTGCGAGGGGAGGAAGCGCAGGCAGGGGTAGTCAACGAGCGTGAGCTCTGCGAAGTAGTTTCCCAGGAACTCCAGGTGGTGCTGGGGACTCTGCCATTGGAACAGGAGCACAAAGAGGAGCAGAGAGCAGAGAGGATAAGCCCGTCAGGCACAAGGGCAACAAAGCGGAAAGCGAATGGACTGAGATGAGCTGGTGGAGCAGGCGACGGGGAGTGAGACAACATATACGCCTGATCTTGCATAAGGAAAGGAGCAAGGCATGGCACGGCATGGGACGCGACGGGATGGGATGGAAACGCACGCACTGCTGCTGCTACATACCGGAAGGGTGGCTTGGGCGGCTTTGACGAAGCGCCTGAGGAAGCTCTTGACGGTGGGCGTGCTGAGGTCGAAGTGCAGCACGGCGAGCACATGGCGCTCCATGAGCAGCACCTCTTGGCGGCGGTACGTGTTGTCCGTGATGTAGCAGAACTCGTCCACCTGCGGTGCGTATATCTCCTCGTACTTGCTGCCATGGGCAAGGGGGGGGAGGGGGGATGCATGATTAGGATGTGTGGAAGTGGGAAACGCAGCAAGGAAAGGCGAGGGGGAAGGGGATGGAGCGGAGGGGTCCTTACTAGGAAATGGGGAAGGGGGAGGGAGACAGGCGAAGCGGGCCTTACGAGGCGATGGGGGGAGAGGAGGGAGCGAAGGGAGGCGGAGCATGCTTATGAGGCAATGAGCAAAAGAGAGGGAAGGGAGGCGGGGACGGCAGAGATTCTCACGAGGCGATGAGCATGGGCGGGGGGAGCGGGCAGTGCTTACGAGGCGATGAGCATGGAGGCGATGCCGAGGAGCTGCAGGTGGTTGCGGGTGACGGTGGCGTGGGAGAGGAAGCGGTCGATGTAGGCGGCGGTGAGGAAGAGCGTGTCGGGCACCAGCTTGTACTCCTCCGCCACCTCCACCAGCCAGTCCATCAGAATGCCCCGCATCGCCGCGCTTATGTCGCCCCCCCGCCCCTCCTCCAGCGCCATTGTGGGTCGGAGCCGCCGCTGCACGCGGGAGGCGGGGATGGGGGGTGGTTGGAATGGGAAGGGGGAAAAAAAGAGGGGTCGGAACAGGACGGGGGAGAGTGAAAGGAGTTAGTAAGAAAGTCAGTACTCCGCGTTCGGGAGCAGCGGGGAAACGAGTGAGAGTGAGAGCGAGCGTGCGAGTACGCTAGGGCGAGGGGGACGAGAGGCAGCGCGACTAACCTCGCCATCTCTGAGGTTCGCGTAGATCTCCGCGGCATACTTGGTGCACATCTGCGGATCCCCGTGCGCCGTGTCTATATTCCTGACCTTCGCCGCATCAACCCCCCCGACCGCGTCCGGCGAGCCAACACCCGCCACGTGCTCCGCCTCCGCCACCGCCTGCGCGTCCGCGCCACGGATCTCCACCACTTGCGCCCACTGACTGCCGCCGTTGGCGGAAACCGACATATGAGCCGTTTCCGCCAGGCGCGCTTCCCCCGACGTCCCTTCCTGCGGAACCTCCGTCAAGGCCCCTTCCATGTCGCCCTGGCGCTCCCCGTCTCTCCCGGGATCGACGCTGGAAATACACAGCACCCGCTCCGTCTTCCGGTTGATCGAATCCATCGCCGCCGCGCTCGCTTGCGCCTGCGCCTGCGCCGCGCTTCCCATTAGGTCACCAGCGCCACCCACGCTCCCCGCGCTGCCGCCACCGCTGCTGCTACTGGGTAGGAGAAGCGTAAGAGTCGTCGTCGGCGGGACAGCCGCGGCGGAACTCGCGGGAATGGCGGCGCAAGGCACGGCGGAAAACGGAAGAGGGTCGTGTAACGCCGCTTCTGCAGCCGCCGTCGCCGTCGACGCAGCCGCTGCTGCTGCCGTCGTCACTGGTACAGCGGAATCGCTGAAGCCAGTCGATCTGTCCGTCGCAGCAGCAGCGCTATGTAGCGGAACGTGCGCCGTGAAATGCGCCGGGCCAGGGCCATAGCCATGCCCATGCGAGAGGCCATTAACCACTGGAACTGACACGAAACCGTTCGCGCATCCCCCTGCTGTCTCAGCCTTCTCCCCATACCGCGCCTGGTGCCTCTCCGCCGATCCGCCGATGCTGCCCTCAGTGGAGAGCAGCGAAGCTTCCGCCAAGTACGCCTGCGCATGTGCGCGCCAATGAAGATGCTCCCCCCCCGGCGCTCGGGCTGGCGCGTGGGCATGGTCCTGCGAATGCCGGTGGAGCGGTTGCGCTTGCTGCTGCGGTTGCGCTTGCGGTTGCGTAAACGCAAACGCCGCTGCTGCTGATCCTGCAAGATGAAACTCCGGGAGTGGCAACCCCAAGCCATTCACGGCGGACATTCCAGGGCACGATGCCTTCGCGTCAACTCGAAGCCACGTCCCATGCTGGCCAGGAATGGCTCCTCCGGAGGCTGAGGAAGCGCCTGCTAGCTCCGCTGCGCCTGGTGCGGCGACCGCGCGAGCGCGAGAGGGGGAAGTGGCGCACGCGACTGGCGCAGGAAGATCACGGAGATCAGGGAGCCTTCCACCGTTACAATGACTGCGGTCCGACAGCTGATGATGATGCTGTTGCTGCTGCTGCGACTGAGCCTGGTCGCCGTGTGATGCAGGTACGGCGACGACCGTGTGCTGCTTCCGTGCGACGGCTTGCGACGCTTGCTGCGACGTCGATCGTGTGACTCTGGTGCATGCAGTAGTCGCTGCAGCTGCAGCCGAACCGTGACGCTTCTTGGCCGACCGCGTATGGCTTGATCCTCTGGTCTTCTTACGTGTCTGATCCTGGAAAACGAAGGAAACAAGCCATGCGTCAGACGAAAGCAGAAGCGGACGCACGAAAGAAAGGAGTTAACAAGCCGTGTCGAGATAGTGATATATTGACCCGAACAGTAAGGCATCACTTCAGACCTAAGCGTGTTTCCTATCATGCGGCTCATTGGCGAGCATGAGCTCGATCAACAATGGCTGGCTTGTGGTTGCCGGATCCAGCAGAAAGAAATAGCGTTGGTCTGAGACACGCCGACGGAATGAGCCATTCCGATTTTTTTTCAAAATGATCAGTGAAATAGCGACACAGATGTCGCAAAAGTCTGGATTCTGGACCAGAAATGCAGAGATCTATAAGTAACCCTAAGTTTCAATAACGACGAATCCTTGTAGCCGGACAACTGGTGAACAAATGGTCGAATCCACGTTTGGTCAAATGATCGAAACGGTCAGCGAACCAGTTCGTGATGCGGGATCATGGCTTCACGAGCGAGCTTTAAGCGATGATTTCATGCAGATGACAGGGACATGGAACTAACTTGGGATGGCGAGATGACAGCCGACGGAGCAACGTGGTTCGTCCGATTCGATAAAGCTTGACGCTTGTTGTTGGCAAAAGAGGCATCGGACGGTCGCTTTGCGGAGCCTCGACCCCCAGCATCCTGAGCCTTGCTCGGAGGACTGGGAGTCATGGCACGAAACGATGCCATGAAAGACGTAAGAAGACTAAGGATTACGCTTCAAGAGCCAGAGTTTGCTGGAACAATACCAGAAACCAGTCCAGCATCAGAAATGACCGAATGTCTAATTACAGACAAACAATACACGGATGAACTAATGAGGAAAAGTGAGAGCTTTGCAATATGCAATCGAAGCTGATGAACCTCAGCACCAGCAGCACCCTCTATGCAGCTGATCAACCCAATGCATGGATAAAATCAATTTGAACTCCAAAGGGCCCGAGTCAGGGTTCTCGGGATTCCCTGTAAAAAGTGGTCCGAGATGGAAGCAGTCCGCGAGTTGTGCAGATCGAGGGCGACAAAGGCGGGCTGTTCAGGCTCCAGAGATGGTGGCAGAACCAAGGACTCAAAATGAGAGGCGCGCCAGGACAGAAGGACAGGCAGGAGGAGGGATGGGTCGGAGAAGGAGGTTGCGGGGGAAAGGTCTGGCGAGGGCGGAGCGTGCCAGACCAGGCCAAACCAGGTGGAGTAGGCCAGGGGCGGCGGAGAAGAAAAAGTCTTGCAGCCCGAGGCGGGGAGGCATGGGTTGCAAGTCGCATGCTTCCTTCCCCGGATGGATGGCGGCGCTGGTGGAATCCCTTCACGCATGGAGTGCTGCATGGCAGAGTGTCCGGAGATTCCGTGATCATCTGGCAGGCCTGAGGGAGTTTCCAGCTGTACCCGGAAGAAAATTTGTTCAGGAAAAATATGGCAACGCGGTAATTATCTGGAGCAGAGTTTGAAAGGACAACTGTCCGGTCATCGTCCTTCTGGGCCACCCCTTGCTTCAGTTTGACCTGCATTTCTGTGAGAAACATTGACAATAGTGCCCGCGCTTTCTGCTGCCCGGGCTATCCGCACTTTTTTCCATAATGACCATATGTTGAGGGTAAATTCTCTATAAACGACTGACAGGGCTTTCATTGGGTCCGCGAGACCCTTGGTTCGCGACGAAGATCCGGACGGACCAGGTCCGAACGGGGTCTCACTTAATTGGCGCGGACAGGTCTGGCAGACCACCATCAACCCTGCAATTTTCGGTGCGAACCCTCAAAATGGCTCGGACGAGGGCGGACCAGGAGTCGGACAACTTGTGTTATGAGGTAACCACACAGTTTGGTCCACAAGCCGGCTCACCAATGGTCCACCCTGGTCTGCAGATGGACCGTTTGGTCCGGGGAGGCGGACCCCAGGTGCAAGGCGGGCCCAATGTAGCAACACCCTGATTCACGGTAATGTGTGCATGGTGCACATTTTCCCACCGGACGCATCAACGAAGGGGGGTGGGGAGGGGGAAATGGGGACCATCGAGCTCGGTCAGGGTTCTGACTGGGGAGAGGAGGCAGGAACCGATTTTATGGTGTGGAAAGGTGTGGGAGCATTTCTGGTTATTTACTCATAAAGTTCGAGACAGTGAAATTTCTCTCTTCGGGTCACCGCCGTATGGGTAAGCATGCGTTAAATTCTGGTTCAGCCAGTGGAAGGGACAGAACGACTGTGGTGGTAGTGTGGAGTTTTTCAATCTGTCACATGTTCTTCCTACACAGGAGAGGGTCTGCCACATTTAACTGTTTTCGGTCAGTCACCGACAGAAACAACTTGATAGTGACAATTCTACTTGCTGCTCAACCTCCACGGAGTCAGCGACAAGTTTCTTGCCGCCGTAGAGTGTTCTGTACTTGATCAGACACCAAAATTTCGGTCCACGTCAGGAAAACCGCATGTCATTTAGTCTTGGCAACATCAGCCCGCGACTCCCGAGTCTCTATGGTACATGGGACTCTGCGACAAGCAGCAGCAGTTTCCCTCCTTTCTCTGCCCCAAATCAGGCTTGCACAAACTGCGAGTCTGCGACTGACATTAGGTTTGGAAGCTGACACAAGTCCCGCCAAACCGAGAATTCCCACAAATCGAAGCGTCTGCACAGCCGCACCTCCATTCTAGACCAGTAAGAGTCAAACCCCTATTCTCGATAATTTCACACCCCCTACCCCTTATTTCGAAGGTACCCTGTATGTTTTCTGGCTCGATGTGACGGACACCCGAAGATTGACGAGGGTAGTTATCGGGTCTCGCACTTAATTTTCCGAGTGAGTAGTAGGGGTGGATGGCTGCCCTTGGAACACCAGTTTCCTTTCTTCCATTCGCGAGAAGGTTGCGAGACCCCCTCCTCCGATAGTCTACAATCGTTGCTTGCTACCCAACTTAAACGTTTAAACGAGAGTCTTTACCCCAGGGAGTGCACTTAAGGGGTGTGAAACTATCGAGAATAGGGCTTGCACGTAAGTAATGTGGCTTATTTTGTATATCCTTCATTTTCCAACGCATGTATAGTTTCTGCGACTCGCCGTATCAACTGTTTGTCCGTGAGTCCGTGACCATCCAGCTCCTTGCTCTGCTTGCAGAAATAAGCGTCCATAAGGTACAGTGTCAAACTACAGCATCAGCACGAAACGTATTGCAGCGACAGTTACAGTACAACCACTTCGCGTGCAACATTTCTTACGATCCTGTACCCTATCAGGGATGGGCATTGCTACACCCACACGGATTTACAGGGCAGCGCCCATCCCCGAAAGTGAATAATTGCTGTTCCAATATCAATACTGGAATACATTTTTGAGATTGCATCACGTAGTTTTCTTCTTAGAGGATGCTTACTCATCCAAGTCTACTAATCAGCAAGCAAGAAGCAACACTATGAATTCTCACAATGCATTAAGTGCCCGTGTCAAATTTGGGAGGGGGTTGCTTGGGAGGGTCTTTGGGCGGTGGCTTTGTCATAACAACTATAGGATATGTTGGACACAATAAGGCTGCTAGGAGAGTAGTAGTTAAAACAGCGAAAATCTTGTTACCTTGAGCATCGTGAATGTAAATGACATGATGATAATAGCAAGCATTACATTGGAATCTACAATTCCTTACTAGCCATGTACTCTGAGAGGTACATACATTCCCTTATTCAACCGTCTTACAGGCATCGCTATAACAGCAGAGACTATTGCGATTCCTGCGGATACCTTCGTTGCAGTGCGTAACATCCGGTTGTAACGTCCGTGGAGGTTAGTCAATCTGTAAAGAGGCCGACTCTCGACAGTTAACCTACTACCTCTGCACTGTCGCGTGCTCCTATACGGACATATCGCGATAGTAGGAGTTGCGCGTACTGTACAGTAGCTCATGGGTAATTGGCACAACTTGCATGCATGTTTAAATTACTTTTCAGTTATTCCAACACTCTCTTTCATTCCTGAAGGTGTGCCACGGGGGGCTTCTTGACGATTCCGCATAGGTACGCACAACTATGGAATCTATGACGTGGTCGTTTCTTCGTCAGAAAGTATGTTGCCATCTCGCCAGTTGGCAGTAGGTGAGCTTGACTTTGACCTTGTCGATCTCGTCTTTCACGAAGAAGTTACGGAGAGCGGTGTGTCAAACTATGTTTGTATGTCTGTAGGCTGTAGTGGGGTAGTTTACATAGAGTACAACCCTTTTAGGGTTTCCCTACTTGTACCCCTGTTTCATTATAGTGAAGTCATCCTTGCCTGCTATTTCTAACATGGTATTCAGAGCAGGTCCCTCCGTAGGACCGCTCCGTTAGGGCCCACCAACCGTACGAACTGCCAATTTCTTCTGCCCTGCCCCTAACGATCGCGACCCGGCCGCCCCCTAGAGCCGCCCTGCTCCACGCTACCGTGTGCCCTGCAGCCTGCGCGCTACCCTGCCCTGCAGCCCGCGCACCCCCCTGCCCTGCAGCCCGCGCGCCGCCCTGCCTTGCAGCCCGTGCGCCGCCCTGCCCTGCAGCCCGCGCGCCGCCCTGCCCTGCAGCCCGCATGCCCTGCAGCTCGCTTGCTG